GAGTATTCATTCCTGTCTTTGCCTTTTCTTTTCACACCACAAACAACTGGAAACTCTTTTTAGGTGGAATTTTCACTTTTTTTCTCACAGCTGACTCTCATTTATGTTCCTGGATGCCTCTGACTTCTTCATTATCTCCCTTTCCATTGGGGAGACTTAGAACTGGACACAGAAGTTTTTTGTTTTTGTTTTTGTTTTTTAAGATTTTATTTATTTATTTGACAGAGAGAGATCACAAGTAGACAGAGAGGCAGGCAGAGAGAGAGAGAGAGAGGGAAGCAGGCTCCCTGCTGAGCAGAGAGCCCGATGCGGGACTCGATCCCAGGACCCTGAGATCATGACCTGAGCCGAAGGCAGCGGCTCAACCCACTGAGCCACCCAGGCGCCCCTGGACACAGAAGTTTAACAGAGGCTTTTGAGTCTTCATTTTTAGCTAAATCATAATGCAGGGAGGGAGGTTGAAACTTAGGTGGAATTATTTTTCTGGTGGAACCAGAATTTGTCCCTTTATGGTCCACAGACTTTTGTTGATATCATGATAACCAAATAGGAATTACACTGATTTGTGTCAGGGTGAGAAGAGTTCTTCACCACGTCATGTCTGTTCTTCCTTTATCAATTTTTCACCACAGCAGCTGTTGGGATTTTGAGGTACTCCTCAGGTGTCAGAATATGGCAGATTTCTCTCAGCTTTGTATTTTTTGAATGTTTGGAAAGGCCCTCCACCATCCATCATTGTAGACTGTACACATTTTTGGGGGGCCTCCTCTGGGTCAGACACTGTCCTCAGCTCTTGTTCCTCCAAGGAGCCTCTTGTGGTGTGTGCCGGCCAGGGCATCATGGAAGGTGGTTGTCTGCGACTGCTAACCACTGAGCAAGATTTCCCAGCCAACAAACCTGTCTCTCCCTTGCCAGGCCCCACGAAGGGGAACATCAAGCAGAAATAAAGGCCTTTTATTTGCCCTCCTTCCTCAGTTTGTGAGTCTCAGTCCCCTTTAGGTATGACTTTAGTATGTTTTTCCAGTCGCTGGCAGTGGCCCAGTGTTAGAAAGCTGAAACGACAAGTTACTTGTATTGAAAATTCATGTCTTGAGTTCAGGACTTAGTGAATCCTTGGCCAGGCCAGGCACCCTTGGAAGGTACTGCGGACAAGAAAAGAGTGAGAAAGGAACTCTTTTCTTATGGAATTCAGATTCTCATAGGACATCATTTAAGATCCCCTTAGTATAACATAGTATAAATCGCACCGTAAGAGATGGATGTACAGTGAAGGGACCGGAGAGGAGAAAGTTGAGCACAAGGAAGATTTAGCAACATTCCATCTTTGCTTCCTATCTAAAGAACATAAACTCCGTGAAGGTGATCTCTGTGTTTTTTTGCCTGCTATTTGCCCTGTTGACATGTTTTGGTCATTCTTCCCCTTCCCAGAGGGAGTGTTCGCCGAAAGTCCATGCTTGGGGTGGGGGGGGAGGGGAGCAGAACTGAGGTTGGGGCAACTGAATGTGTGCTTAAGTAGCAAATCTAGCACAAGGCTTCTGTTCCTGCGTTGCACAAGCTTATGGAAGCAGAGACTGAGATGTAGGCATTAGGATTTATTTTATTCCTTTCCCCAGTGATTGTATTGATAGTGAAATATCTTTGTCTGAGTACTCCAGCAATATATCTGTAGGCGCCATAAAAATGCATGGATAGATGGCTGCCTGTTCAATTAAGAGGTCTCAACCCAGCCTCCTATATGCAAACCCTGTCTATTTTAGGTTTAAATTTCTGCTCATAAATTTTTTAGAAGCCAAAAGAAACATTGCTTTTCAAGGTTACATTGAAGTCTAAGATTCCTTAAACAAAAAGCAAGTCCCTAGAAGGGGAAAAAAAAATTGATGACCCTAATGTACTTCCTCACAATAGCATTTCCAACTCCATCATTTAAACACATTTTAAATAATATTCTCTTCATTGTAATATACAGATCTTCTGGCTTTCAACCAGGGAACCAGAGGAAGTCATGCCAGATATTAGATAGAAGCTATGAGATACGGCATCCGATTCCATGCAGTTGGGTCTGTTTTCTGGGGCATCTAATTCTTGCAGGTGGTGACAATCAACTGACCATTTAATAATTGTCAAAAAAAAAAAAGTAAGCTATGAGGTTAACCTAGGTTTCTATACCAAGTATCAAAGAGAAAAGTAAGTTAGTTGGTAACCTTCATGATAGTGTTTCAATGTACATGCTTAAGAAAGCAATTATTCACTTATGTCAATTATGTATGGGTAGAAATTAATTTGCAGTTCTGGTCATCTGGTTGGCTCCATACTTAACAGCATGGGTGACCGTTTGCATTGCCAGGGAAAGTGTCCATGAATCTTCAGCAGAGAACATAGGCCCGGGACGGGGTAGTTCTGCTTCTCGTTGGTTCAAAAATGAAACGGCATTCAACAGCCCAAGTGTGAAAGTAACTACGGAAATTTTTAGATCATTTAAATTTTCTTGTAGGTCTTTGGCTCTGCCTACCCCTAACCAGGATAGTGTGTTTTAGTATGCTGTCCTCAGTGGTTAATGGTGTCTCCAGCTTTTGAATAAAACTGGAGAAATTAAATTCCGTTTTCAATTTGGCTAGAAGTATCTGAGCTTTCAGAAGAGCTCTGTGGCCCCTTTCACGCCAACTCAGTCTTTTTTTTTTTTTTTTGCCTCTCAATCATTTGCTGTTTACTTGTTTCTCTTTCTGTGGCTTGGAATTTTAAACTTTCTTTGACACACCTACGGCCATCTTCTGTTGCTGTTCATGCTTCCATGAAGGTAAGGTGGTGAAGCAAGTGTAAAAGAAAAGTCAAGAGAACGAAGAAGTCCACTTTTACATTATTAAAAACATTGTTTTGATATCATTATCCTTCTTGCCTTACTGTTAGTGCATAAATATCAGAAGGGCAATGGCTTTTGTATATTTAGATTAATTGAGATGAAAAATGTTTTTCTGTTTGTTCATGAGGTGATTAATCCTGAAGATATTATACCTAGAGGAAGAACATCGGCTAAGCTCTCATATTTCCACCAGTTAGGTTTGCTGGTATTACTGCAACATAAATGTTCTGTTTGGCAGAATTTTATGTATCCTTTTTGGGATGTGATCAGGAAGAATTTTAACTTTCCCTAAAACAAAATTAAGTATTTTAAAAATTTTAGTTATAAATATCAACGGTTTAAAATTTTCCAGGACAAAAATAATAAAAGTATGCCGTTCTCCTAAAACATACTGAAATGCTTCTCAGACTATTTAATTTATAATTTTTAAAGGCAAAATTAGAGGATCTTTTTGTAGAAAAAGAGAAGGTAGTCATGCCATATTTTTTTAATCGCTTGCTATAAAAGTAATGTTAATTTATGGAGTTAAAATTTCAAATATGGACCAATATAAATTTGTATTTCCGATTTTCAGTGCCGGCTCTGTATTTGATTTCAGGGATCATTCTGAAGGATTTCTCTCAAGTTATTTTTGAGCTATCATGCTTTTGTTTGTATTTTCACTATGGTGATTGTTACAAAATGATAAAAGCTATCGCTTTGCCAGACTTAAATAAAAATTCACTTTTCACATCTTTTGTTATTTGCACTTTGGGATCGGCATAGAATGTTTGCTGTAGTCACCAGGTTAAGATCATTGAAAACTTAGAGATAGACATTTTCTTGTAATACTTCCCTATAATTAAAATCCTCATTTGCTTAAAAGCAGGGAGCCTTTCTAAAGTAATAAATTAGCATTTCTCGACCCAGGGTCACTAGGAGTGCTACTTCTTTTTGCAATATCTCCAAGAAAGAGAATAATAATGCTATAACTCTGTTGAAATAGAAGTAATATTTTCAGTTTAATCACAGTTAAGTGTCATGACCTTTTGATCTTGCTCTGAACTTCTTGCTGAAATGTGGTCAAGTTTTAGACAGCCAATTCTAACCCTGTGAAGCCAAGGTAAAGTTACTAGCCAGACTTTACACAGATACAGAGGTTATTCTAAAAAAAAATTTTTGTTTGTGTTTAGATAATGTTCTATACCGTGTAAAGTCTCAGAATATGCTTCACAGCCCAAAAATTTACCCTTGAAATATTTTGCCCGATTTTTGTCTCCTCCCTCCAAAAAATGTCTAAGTATGTTTACTTATAATTCTGTGAGATTCTTTTGCTCTCACTTAATTTGATCTCATTTTTAAAATTAAATGTTATTTTGCCAAAAATGGTCCCGGTTAGCCTTTTTTTTTTTTTTTTTTAGTTTAGAAATGCTTATATTTTTTTAGGTAAAAAATGAATGAAATTCAACAAAGGTGTGCAAGAATCTGTTTTTGCAAACGAGTCCTCTTAGGAGCTCTCAAAGGCATCAGCGCCAGAGGAAAATCATACTTGTAAAGTGGAGGCAACACGTCTCTTTCGGAAAGATGCCTTTGAGTGATCCTGTGATTTCAAGTGAACGTGCTAGAGTATTAGGACTCTCGTATTTCGTGGCGTTAGTCTGCTTAGTGTGTTGCCGCAGTACAGAGCTAAATATCAACAGGACTTGTTACTGTTGTTTGGGTTGCTTTTATATACCAGCTTCAAAATATGTTTTGACACTTTATTATGTTCTGAATCAAGCTTCAGATGTGTGTAATGAAGGATGAAGTCTTTATCAGACTCTCGTGTATAAATAATGAAGAAGAGCAGTTTTGGAAATGGTTTCTCTGTAAGAGAATGGTTTCTGAAGTGTTTCAAGTTATGATCTGGCGCAAGCCAGACGCCGTGGAGGTGTACCCAGAATGGAGCCTCCTCTCCAAAGGCACAGGGCTGCTGCCGCCGCTGCTTTTCTCCCCCTTTCTTCTCTTTCCCCCTCCCCCACTTTTTTTCCCTCATTCATCTTGTCATTCCCATAGCGTTCTCGTTCCTAGTTTACATGCTGAACCTTTTGAGAAAGTCTGGCACCTCTGATCCACTTTCCCTCGCAGACCCTGTAATTTTTGGCTGTATTTTTATGTTTTTCAGATTCAAGTCAATCTGAAAGTCCCAGCCAGCCAAGTGACGCTGACATTAAGGACCAGCCAGAAAATGGTAAGTTTAGTTGGGGACTCGAGCTGCTGCTTTCAGAGTCCATCGGTAGCCAGGGGCCAACCAAGTACGAGGATTTTGGGTTCTGCCCTACGGGTAGCTCATAGTTAGGAACAGCTTCGATGACTCAAGGCGGTCTCTGGATCATTCTAGCAGCCCGAGCCCTCCTCCATTCCTCTCCCAAACACCATCAGGGTACTCATGAGAACCTTAGTTTCCAGGAACACTGATGGCTGTGAGAGGTAGGGTTGATTTACCAAATCCAAATCTTCTACAGCACAAGCGAGGAGCCGCCGCCTCTCTGATTTCTAGTTCCTTCTAAGGTGGCAAATGCCCCACCACCTTCTTCACCGGTGATTTAAGGTCGTCAACTGACAAATACTTTCGTAGCCTTTCAGAGCTCAGCCCTTTCCTAATTGCTTTCAGAAAATGATCTCCGCCTTTGAAGGATTTTCCACTTTAAATTGTCTGAAATAAAATAGTAAGGATACATGACAGTATTAAATTTCTAAATTGTATAATTATATAAATTTTCGGTTGCAGAAACTTGATTAACATAGAAAGCGCACTTTATATACAAATTTATATATACTCTTACGTATACTCTTGTGAGTATCCAGTGAAATACTGGATCTGTGGTATATGCTCCAAGTACAAAATAGATTGTTACAGGTTGGAATTTAAGATGGAGTAAAACTATCAGTTTCAGTAAAAACTGAAAAGTGAACTGGCAGTCCCTATCATATACTGAACATTGTACTATGTACCTTCCCGGATACCATCTCATAAAATTCCAAAGTGCTCTTCCTCAGTGATAGAACTAAAGACTCTAATGGGGAGGCTTGACCTTCAGGGGCATGTGAAGGGCACACGGCATCGCAGTTAAAAGCTCAGGCTGTGGCATCAGGCCTGCGTTCAAATTCTGCCTCTGCTATTTCTTACCTTTGTAACATTGATCAGGTTATTTAACCTCTCAAGGTATAAAGTTATTCTTCATCTTTAAAATAGTACAGTAATAATATATAATAAGAGCCTACCTGTTGAAGAGCTAAATAAGATGCACATATTCATATAGCTTATAAAGAATGGTTAGCTCTTCAATATTACTTATTATTTTTCTTGTCCATATCATCCCTTCCCATATTGGTTTTTCATCTACTTAGAATGATCTCATTCCTCTGGTCGCTCCTTTGTTGTGCTATATATTTTTCCATTTTGATCTCCGTCTGATCTTTTGAAACAGATAAGGTAAACTGAATTATGTCGGTGCTGTGGGATGGAGGATTTTTACCACATTAGATATCCTCTCACTACAGACTTTGTTTCATTTCCCAAGCCTGGGAAATTCTTGATTTCATTGCTGGATTCTGACATTAAATATGGACTCTCTGGCTATCCCTCTTCTTATTCTAGTGTTTTAATGGTATTTTCCTCATCAAAGGTGTCTCTTCAAAGCAAGCATAAGAAAAGAGAGACACCCCCCCGCCGAAGTCTTGTCTTTAGTGTCATAAATAGCTCTATCTTATTATTAGTTGAATTTTTAAAGGGATATATTTATACATTGGTTTCATCCTTCATTTCCACCTTATGGGTGATACCTTAAATGTTTCATTTATCGATCATACTTCTATATAATCTGCCTGAAGTTGTGTCTAGAGATACTCATTTTACTCTCATTTCATTTTTAAAACTTCGTGGTTGTACGGGTATGTGGTTCGTGTATTTAGGGCTGGCCGTCCCTCTAGCAGGCCTGCGATTCATCTGTCTTCATAAAATGGCCGACAAGCTGTTCACATGCAAATATAAATCGAGAGCATGAGAGAGGCCTGGCATGCCTTTCTGGAGCTGCCTGTAATACCGATATTGTGCATTTCCCATTCCAAAAAGCAACCAGGATGGAGCCTGGATTTCTTGGCCAAAGGCAAAGCTATTAGCCAAGTTCACTTTTAACCCCAGATTACTTGGTGCTACTTCAAGGATTCACGATACTATTTGGGAGTGAAGAGGGGGTGGGTAGGATTGTGTAAGTTCAAAGAAAGTATTAATATCTGGGGGAGAAAGTAATAGGTTTCAATGTTTCAAACTTCTCTGTATTTCAAAGAAAAAGAAGTAGAGGCTGCTTAGTCTTGGATGACTCTGATTGAAGCTTAGCCTAGAGGAACGGCAGCCCACTCAGTTTCCTCTACCTGCCTTTTGTCGATCTCAGATGAAGTGATTGGAGGAAACATGATTTTACCTCTTTTCTAAAGACACATAATCCCTAAAGGAAGAGAAATGAAGAGTTCAGGACCAGGTATTTACGTGCATTAGAGAACTTTCTAGTGCATTAGAGGAGAACTTTCCAAAGCCATAAACTAGAACTTTCTACAACTTCCAAGAGTGATTTTTCTTTTTCATTACCCAGGTTATGGATGATGAGTTCCTAAAAGGTTTTTGTTTGTTTGTTTTGTTATTGTTTTTAAAAAGGCAACTCTCATAAATGTAGCAAGCAACATCTAAGAACTTTGGGAATCTTGGTGGGTGAAGAAGTGACAGACTCTGGTCTTCAATTAAAGTGGGAATGTATTACATCTTCTTTATGTATATATGCTAGGGGAAATCATATTCTTTTTATCCTGGCTCTTGAGGAGAAAGGTAATGGGAAACGAATGGTATTTTCCTAGTAAACCATGGAGAATGAATAGACAAATGGCAACATGCCGTTTCATCCAAAGCCATAAACTAGGCCATGTAACTTTACCTAAAGTGGATGCAGCTGTTTTTTCCCGGTCCAGCTAGTCTGTTTTTTCCTGTGGAATTTTTGCTTTCTTTTCTTGTACTCCCTTAAGATTCAACTGTAAAAGGAAACAAATCTTTGTCCAATTAGAGTATTAGATGGGAATTTTGAAGGAATTATTTGAAGATAATATCTTCAAAGATATTATACCAGAGATATATACCATATACCAGAGATAAAATATCAGAATCTCTGAAACTCAAAATGGGTATAATATAATGATTAAAAACTCTGCCTCTAGAGTCGGACAGACCTGAGTTCAGATGAAATAATGGCTGGGTGACTTGGAATCAATTGCTGCTCCAAACTCAGTTTTCTTATCAGTAAAATAGGAATACTAAAAGAACATACTTCGTATTAAAAGGGAGAATACGTACATGAAACAGCATCATGTCTGGTTCCTAGTAAGGACTCAAAGAAAAGTAGCCATTATTACTCTTAGTTAAAGCTCATATCTGTAAAGAGCATGCATATTGGAGAGGCCAAAAGCTGGGAGGTTTGGAATGGAAGGGGGATAGTGTCAGAAAGAAACCAAGACTTTTATTAGAGAGGTATCTTTTGTAGGTACCTACTATGTTCTGAAGTGTCAGATATGAGTCTCCTTTATCTGTCTACAGCGCCCACAGTGCCACATCTATTTTATTGTGTGGACTGTTTCTCACGGTCTGTTCACCTCCTGGTTGACTTCCACAGAAGTCACAGAATTGCCAGGACCTTCCGAATGAGCACTCCCAGAGAAGGTGATTCTGGAAAGAAGGGGCCCCACCTAGATGGCTTTAATTTTAGCTGAGTCTTTCCTTGGCACCAACCACGTAGAATCTGGCTTATTAAAAACTATAAGCTGATTAAGGGTCGGGTTCATGACCAGTTCCTTTTAAAACAATCTTGCAGAGTGTAAAGCTCTGTGCCTTGACCTCAGGAGGTACCTGGTATTTATTTGCTTAATGAATAGAATTAATAAGTAGATGAATATGTTCTCATTATCCCCAAATATTTTCTGAGTGTCTGCTGACTGTTGATTGACCAAAAGGTTCTTAAAGAAACAAATATCAAAAATTAAAAAAAAAAAAGAAAAGAAAAGAAAAAGAAAAACGGAGATGCAAAAAATCTAACTTGGCTGTGGGGGAGAATCGCACACGGACATGTGGGCGCACATGCGCAGATATAACCGATGGCGCTAGGAAGCCAAAGCCAGAGGCTTTGCTGATGTCCACGGTAGATCGTGCTACCTCTGCCTCTCCTGCGTGAGCAGATGTGAACGAAGCTATGAAGTACTATACTGTTCGCTTATGCTTGCTTACCATAGGGGATGAAATTCTGACAGAGTTCTCAGCTCTGACGGGAATTATACGTTTAGTTCTTCTGCTTCTTGCCGAAACCCCCTCTCTGGCTTTGCAAGAGACTCTGAAGGCGGTGAGCCTTATTGGTTGGGCTTCGACTTAGAACATTGACTCAAGCCACCTTCATGAATTCCTGACAGGTACTTTGGCTGCTATTAACAGTTTTTATAGGGACAGAACATTTGAAGTGACTGCTCAGTATTTACGGGACCTGTGAACAGTCCCCTAAAGCTTGTGTTCTGTGGTGCTTCAGGTCAGTCATTAAGGAGGGAAAAGCTTATGTGATAACCCTCCTAAATTCAAGTCATGCATCTGTAGGGCCACACTGAGTCCCTGTCTGAGGGAATGGCGTCGTCCAGCTTTGGCGCTCAAAGCACACTCCCTGCTGGGATTTGCTGCGAAAACACCCTCCACTGAAAAGAAGAAGAAAATGTGGGATTCCCTTGCCAGAAAAAGGAAAGCTGTTGTTCACATGTTCCCCCACCCCCCGCCGCCGCATTTACTCTGTCTCATCACCTGCACCAACTACTATTAATAACCTCATCTTCGTGGTTTTTAAAATGTGATATTTATAACAGGAAAGCAGGGTTGGTATTTGGATTATTTCCTTCAGGCTTAATTGTGTTTGTTCTTCCTCATTTGTCTGGTGGTCGCCCATATGTTGGTCGCGTAAACCCTCAGATGGGCCTTTGCAATCAGTGGAAAGTCATTAATCATGATGCTTGCCCCAGATTTTTGAAAATTTCCAGCTCTACCTGCCAATTTGAAAATCACCCTAGAGAATTGGTTGAGTGTGGCTCTCCTGGTCACCAACGTCATTTGTGTCATTTCCATCTTGTATTGCCATGCTAGATATTGTTGCTAAACGTTGCTAGATGAAGGAGGAA